GAAGAGGGAAAGAGCGTGCGGGGGGGGGGGGGGTAGTGGTTTCAGACCGGACAAAAGCAGGTATCAGACGATGTTCTCGAAGGAGTGGAGCGGGTGTGACAGTGATCTGCTGTTTAATGCGCAATGCTCGTGCAAGAGTGGCAGTGTGCGCAGGTCAATGTGCGATCCAGGACTCGGTATTGGGTGTTGTGGTGGCAGGATGTGGCAGGCAGCTTGGACAGGGCACAAAGTAGCGCCCAGGTCGGTGCTAGCCACGAGCGAGTTCTTGGAGTTGATGGACGAACAATGGATAACGCAACACCCCCCGGGTCGTTGTGGTTGTCTCAAGACTTGGGAAAGCCGGAGCGTCGACGAGTGCGAAGGCGGTATCGTGGTGGCGTGGACTGACGCCGACGTCGAGGTTGAAAGCACGGAGACGCAAAAATGCCAAAAAGGTAGTCGCGCCGGTGGGGTGAGAGTGGGTCTTCCGGGCATCTGGACACGGAGCAAAGGCAAATGGAAGGCATGAAAGAACAAAAAGACGAGAACGGGCGCGCCGGAATGACAGCAGTGACGGGAATGGCAGGGGCTGGCTGGCTGGATTGCAGGGGTCATGACGGCACTGTCTGGGACTAGGCATTGTTGCGCGTCAGGGGCCGTGCAGGGTTGCGCAGGTTTGCACAGGGCTGCCCACTTACGCACCCGGCTGGTGCACATGGTCTTGTATTATTCTATGAATGCTCCAACGGCCAAACGGTCCAAGCGCTTGTTTCTCGTTCAAAAGGGCAACTGGCCCTTCATGCGCGAGTCTATAAAACGGGGAGCCGATCAAGTGTACACATGTATGTACTGCTTTGTCCATTCGGGGCTGCGGAGACATCCGCGTGACAATCTCCCAGGCCGAGGATGATGCCCGTCGTCTGTTGTCTGATGTCCGCCTTTGATGTGTCATGACATGATGGCAAAGAGTCATGACGGTATCGGGCTCTATTGAGCTCTGGATGTCTGTGCCATGGAAGCCCACAGCAGTCAAAAAGAAAACCATTGACGGGTGGCTCGTGTCCCTTGGGTCATCTCGACGATGTCAAGTTGAGTTGCCACGTTGTAGGTACTATGCTCAGTATGCTCAGTATCGTGCCCGTCTCTGCACTGCGCGAGAGTCAAGGGCGTAGAAATCAGTCGAATGCTACCTCGAATTACTTGTCTCTCCCCGACTCCTGAGCACAACTCATCATGTCATCCTCACCATCATCATGCGCGCCGAAAAGGCCGGCGTAGTTACAAGCCGTGGTCACGCGATATCAAGTCCATCTTGTAATAAACTCCGCTCTATTCAAAACCTGTGCCTTTGCTCCCTTCAATGGGGCCTCGTGGCCAGGCCTATTTTTAAACTGGCCAAGGGGGGTAAGG